TTTCTGAAGAAGGGTCTAGGCCCGAAACGTCAGCCTTCCTGCTCCTCTGATGCTGCTTGGCCTGCTGTGTTCATCCAGCTCTACACCTTGTTATCTCACTTAATTGTGCTATTGTGCTCTGTTCGGCACTCACCGTCCAAGTATACCTTCAGTTTTTACTGATCCTTGAAAACGATATAAATCCGACACTAAAATAGCAATTTTTCACCTTAGTAAACTACAAATCACATTGTAGCAATGAAATGTCTATGATCTACAAGCAATGTTATAATATAAAAAACACCACAGCCAAACTTTGCACAGTACTGTCCCACAAACTTCAACGGCCGTTCACATTGTTCCTGAGCATTGGCTTCGAGGTAATACTAGTCAGGAAACTGGCAAACTTCCTTGCCCCTTCTTTAAATAATGCTTTGGGATTTTTTGTTTACTCGCTTGAGAAGGTAGACATTTAAATGTTTCATCTGAAGTACAGTCCCTGTGCAACACTGCAGAGTGTCAAACTGAAGGTACAGTACCAGCCTATACTTGACATTCAAAGTCAACCCGGTGAACACCTATTAGGCAAATATAAACCAGTAAATATGGCAGCCCATTTCACAACGCAACGGATTTCCAAACGATCAAAAAATTGGGAATGAATGCACGACCCGGTGACCCAAGAAATACATGTGTTACCACTGACACATACAGTAAAAGGTCCTGACTGCCTCTAGTTAGCTTTGTGCTGTGTTTATGGGAGTTCAATGACTTCTTGACCAATGGCATTAAACTTTGTTACAGTTGACTCGGAGAAAGAGTTACACGTTTAATTCTAAAACAACAATCACAGATATTGCCTTCATCGAGAACATTTCAATTTCACCTCGCCTTAAGTAAGTATTACATTGACATCTACGATAATAACATGGGACGCAGCAATATTTAACTCGATTGGTCACCAAGGCGAATGCCAGCAGCGTGTGTCAACGTATCCTGGTGCCTTGTGCTAGTTTACCACAGATTGGACCTGGAGCTGGAGCTAAACTGCCAACACGTCCTCCTCCCCGCACCCCGAGCATTTTATTCACAATCACCAAACCGCCCAAAACTGCTCGTTCAATAACACCACAAGAACCACTACCAAAAGACAATAAAATGCTGAAACTTACGCAGAGACGTAAATGAGAAAATCACACATCAATGGGGATAACCTAAGAGGCGAAATGTTGTAAACAAACCCCCCTCATAGTTCCTGGTCAGATGACCGCAAATCATCGCAACCGACAGCCCAGCGCGGACGCACGCTCCTCTGGGAATTGTAGTCCGCTCTCTCCCGGCAACAGAAGATGATTCGACTGGACCTTCCTCCGCGGACAAACTACAACCCCCATGATGCAGGCCAACGTAAACGTCACGTGACATAGATACCGTGAACTGGCAGGCGGTCTGCTCTCAGGCGCGGCGAACATTCCATGACGTACTAGTGATTGACCGGAGTGCTACCTAATCCTCCAAAGGGTTTAGGGAAAGTGACCAATGAACAGCCTGCCGGAAGTGTGGACCGTGCTGACCAAACAGATTGGGCGGAGCTGCGCCGGGTGGGCGGGTTTGACGGGTAAATGAGCCGCTGAAGGTTTCCGCCATTTTGATGTCAGTGCGGAAGTTGTAGTTGTGTGGAACGGCTGACGGTTCCGCCTTTTCATGGTCAGGTAGCTGCCGGTGCATCGGCTGCCTTTTTTTTGTTTTTTTTTGGCCGCTTTGCCACGAGAAAGTTACCTGAAAATGGCAGGCAGACTACCGGCTTGTGTCGTGGACTGTGGCACAGGGTAAGCGGGCAGCGATCTGATTGTGGGCCTGGAGCCGGGTAGTGGACCCTCCCGAGTGTCAGGGTGTGATTTCTGGGTGTGGGGCCGGCCGACTTTTTCGCATCCTTTCGATACACGCCCCGTGAGCGGCAGAGGAATGCGAAATCCACGGCCTCCAGCGGCTTTGACAACGGTCGGCGTGCGGCCGCTGTTCTGAAGGCACGATAACGGCGCCCGGTCCCCGCCCTTCCGCTGGCACCTTCAAGTCCCAGGTGACGGGCCTTCCTTTCGATGTAAGGCCAGCATCTTTCTGGCGCCTGCCATCACCCAACAGACCCGTGTGAGGCGCGGCGCTGCTCTATTTTGTATGCAAATAAACATTTGTAAAAGTTGCCCCATCGGAGCAACGCCAAAAGTGAGCGGACACGGAGCAATTTCCTCGTTGTCAAAGCCTCTTCCTCCTTTCGTGCATAATTTCCTTATAAGGGATTTTTGTGGGGGTAAGGCGATTAGCGAGTTGATCCTGGGGACCAGAAAGCTTTTCTGTCATTGTCTCGATTTAACTTTTTAAAACCAGATTCCAGCGCCGCCTGAGAATTCAATGCCTGATGCATTTTTGTTTATTTATAACGTTACAGGCTTTTTTCAAAAGAACAGTAGAAATTTTCCCATTGCAATTCTGCTTTTCAAACCAATCTTTCTCTTGTAAGAAGTGTTTTGATGAAGCGCTGAATTTTGCTATTAATATCAGACTGGAAAATTTATAGAGCTTTTGGGAAGTAAATTCTAGCATACGTCCTGACGGACATTGACTCTTGCTGTGCAGCCAAGAATAATGGATGATTTTTTAATATGTAGGCGTATTAGTGTATCTTGCTTTGTGGATGAGTTGCTGTGCCCATACTAATGTATCAAATACCTCACTGACTTGTGGCAGCCCCGACTCGAATGATTTGTTTGCAGTTTGTGTTTCTTACTGATCTACAGTACAGTTGCTGGCCATTTGTCTCAGAAAGCATGCAGTAAGGTGCATGAGAGCAACAGAAAGCATCAGAACATTTCTCATATAATGTTTTTTAATTTGAGGTAAATAAAGGATATATTAAAATTGGGTGAAACTCTTTGATTAAAGTGTTGAAAATTATTTTTAAAAAACTCTGATCGTGAGTGTGCAAGGTTTGGTTAATAGACTTGGCAGAAAAGTGTTTTAGTGAAGACAATTTTCATTGGGGCTATGCAGGTTTCAGTTTTGACTTCCTTTCTTCCATTGTACGTGTCAATAGTTTCGACTTAACTGTAAGGAATGTGATTAAGATGTGTGCAGATGGTAGTGTGGTTGGCAATAAGAAAGATATAGACTACATAAGGTGCCAATGGACTAGTCAGGGGAAAAGTGGTAATTGGAATTCAGTGCAGAGATGTGATGATGCATTTAAATAAAGATAGAAAAAGCAAGGTAATGTGCAATAGATTGAATAATTCTGTAAAATGTAGAGGACAGGATGAGCTTTAGAGTCTCTACTTATAGATTCTTAAAGGAAGTTAGCTCTAGTACTTTATGTCTGGCACAGAACAGATAGGAATAGGGAGGCTATGCTGGAATGGTATGAAACAATAGTTAGACCACAGTACTGTCTATAATTGCCATCACAGTGGATACAGAAAAGCTTATGAGGATGTTGCTGCAAATAGAAAATTTTAGCCAATAGGAGAGATTTATTAAAACTGGTTTGCTTTCTTTTGAATAGAAGGACATTTAAAAGTGGAAGAAAAGGTCCTATTCCAGAGAGATGAACAGCTAGATTTATGAAGTTAAAGATATTGGTAGAAAGAGTTTTGTTTGGTAATCCAGAGCAGAAAGTCATTGCCTGAAAGGGTGGTAAAGATGGAAATACCCATTTTTAAATAAGACTTGTATGTGCACTTGAGATGCTGTAACCTACAAGGCTGTAAACCAAGACCTGGTACGTGTGATGTCACAGGATGTTCTTTCAGCCAGCAGTGACAAAATCTCCCAGCTCTCGTGCTGTGCATTTATTTCCTTTGTGTTTGCCACTAAATCCTTATTGAAACACTATTTGAAACAAAGTCTTCTGGACTCGGAGCTCTGTAATTTTCTTCGTGGAAGTTTGTGGTGTTGGCAAGACATCATTTGTTGACCATCCCTGGTTGCTTTTGAATAGATTTGCTGTCCAGGCTGTTTCAAAGGGCAGTTAACAGTCAACCACGTTGCTGTGGTTGTAGATTTTCACCGTCCATATCAAATGACGATGGCAGATTTCTTTCCCTAAAGCTACAAGTTTTGACAATGGTTACATAGTCACTATTAGGTTTTTAATCTCTCATTTCATTGGAATAAAATAATTAAAATGTCACTGTCTGCTGCAAGGGAAATAGAATTCATGTCAGAACATTAGCCTGGGACTCTGGTTTACTAGTCCAGTGACATTACCCTAATGCCACTGCTACCTCAGGTTACTGCTAAGCATCATTTCACCGAATAGAACTCTTCTTAAATTGTTAATCTGAGTTGCCCAGAGGCTATGGTTAAAGTGAGAGATGGAAAAATGCAAACTGCATTTGAAGCTGAGTTGTATTGGCAGAGTACCATGGAAGCTTTCTTTGACACTTGATTCCAACTTTACATGACTTGGGAATGTTGTGGTTCTGTGTTTGAATATATTGTTTCACACTTTAGCGAGTACAGTGCTCAATAGGAGAAAAGTTTGAGCATGATCTATACTTTGAAGACAAATAACAAATTTGTTTTTCATCAAAAATAATCTTGGGTCATTGTTGCTGACATATATTGCTTAAAGTTAGATCGATAAGATTGAGAAGTGATAATTCCAGCTATCTGTCAACTTGATAAGAACAAGTACTGTTGTATTTAAAATAAGGTCATTGAATGTTGCATGATGAAAATCCATGCCCCTTGAGTGGATGACTGTATCTATTATTCTTAGATCTTGTTTCTCTTAAATTTTACCTCTCATATAATCAGATCCTCCACATTTTTTTAGTAAAATGAGTATGAATGCAATTTTAAATGCACATATGATTGGCTCATGTCTTATTTTTCACAAGTCCAAAATACAAAAACCTATGGATATTCAGAATAATTCCCATTTCATACAAATCAATTAATCTATTTAGTCGATGCATTTAAGTTTCAAATCTAAGTGGGCTATAATATGTATTAATACACTTTGCATATTACGTATTTACATGACTGAAAAGTTAACAAAACTTATAAAGTATGTATACTGCAGTCTGTTGGTATATAGAGTCAGACTGAGATTGTACCTGATAAGAAACTTACTCCGGTATATCTCATTTGTATCTTTCAAGCATGCAGAAATGCTCCATGTTGTATGCTACGGCATGTTAGTGAATGTAATTAATTGTCATTGTTGAAAAATATTCACGGACCTGACAGGTAATGGAGAGGTCAGTGATGTGAAAAGTAATGGTGTAAGTCAGGCATGCTGTTATACGTTTATGATGAGGTTTAGAGAAAAAAAATCCAGGCAAAAGTTTTCCACAGGGGAGCCATGATGAACAATCTGTACATGTGAATAAATGCAAGACACTGTTGCTGCACAGGAAAGCTTGTGATGGTGGATAATTACATTTAAAAATCTGACAAAATATTTCAATAGAGTATTCCTCAATGCAGTGGTGTATGTATTGTGAGAGGGAATTGTCCTCAGGATATCTTGAATCAGTGGATACATATTTGAAAAGCATATTATGCCTCAATAGAACTTTATTTGAGAAGCATTGTTAGTACGTTACTTGTGTAATCATGCATACTTCCATATTTCCCTTGTACGTTTGTAAACCATAATTGTTCGAATTATTTTTATTAGAGCTTCAGACATAACTTCCAGTATTGGTAATGCAGTTATGTTTTTTAAAGAAATGCATCATGTTTATAGATGCCATTAGTAGCTTAAAGCTCTGCTTAGGGAAAAAACCTCTTCAAAAAAGTTTTGTATTCAACTTCAAAAATTAACTGGATGGAGTAGCTTTTTAATGACCACCAACAGTTGTCCCATAGCTCTCATGGTCATTCCCAAAGTGAGCTGTCATCAGCCTGTTATTTGTATTAACGATCTGGATATGAATATAGGAGGTATGGTTAGTAAGCTTGTGGATGTCACCAAAATAGGTGATATAGAGGACAGTGAAGAAGATTATCTCAGAGTACAGTGGGACCTCAAACAGATGGGCCAATGGGCTGAGGAGTGGCAGATGAATTTTGATTTAGATAAAAAAAAGAGTGGGGTGTTGCATTTTGGTGAGGCAAACCAGGGCAGGGCTTGCACAGTGAATGGTAGCTCCCTGGGGAGTTGTCAAACAACAGACCTGGGGTGCAGGTGCATAGTTCCTTGAAGGTGGAATTGTAGGTAGATAGTGAAGATTGTGTTTGGCACATTTCCCTTCATTGGTCAGAACATTGTGTAGGAGTTGGAACATCATTTTGTGGCTCTACCGGATATTGGTGAGACCATGTTTAGAATACTGCATACAATCCTGGTCGCCCTTTAGGAAGAAGAATGTTGTTAAACTTGAGAGGGTGCAGAAAAGACTTAAAAGGAGATAACAAGGTGTAGAGCTGGATGAACACAGCAGGCCAAGCAGGAAAGCTGACGTTTTGGGCCTAGACCCCCCCTTCAGAAATGGGTGAGGGGAAGGGGATTCTGAAATAAATAGGGAGGGGGGGTGAAGGCGGATAGAAGATGGATAAAGGAGAAGATAGGTGGAGACAAGACAGACAGATCAGAGAGGCAGGGGTGGAGCCAGTAAAAGTGAGTGTAGGTGGGGAGTTAGGGAGGGGATAGGTCAGTCCAGGGAGGACGGACAGGTCAAGGGGGCGGGATGAGGCTAGTAGGTAGGAGATGGGGGTGGGGCTTGAGGTGGGAGGAGGGGACAAGTGGGAGGTAGGACAGGTTAGGGAGGCAGGGACAAGCTGGTCTGGTTTTGGGATGCGGTTGGGGAAGGGGAGATTTTGAAGCTTGTGAAGTCCACATTGATGCCATTGGGCTGCAGGGTTCCCAAGCAGAATATGAGGTGCTGTTCCTGCAACCTTTGGGTGGCATTGTTGTGGCACTCCAGGATGGACATGTCGTCTAAGGAATGGGAAGGGAAGTTGAAATGGTTTGCGACTGGGAGGTGCAGTTGTTTGTTGCGAACTGCATCTGCCGTTCCTACTATCTCTAGACTTAAAAGGATGTTGCTGGGACTGGAGGGTTTGAGTTATAGGGTGAGACTAAATAGGCTGGGCCTTTTTTTTTTTACCCTGAAGCTGAGGGTTGACCTTAGAGAGGTTTATAAAATCATGAGGGGCATGGTAGCCAAGATCTTTTTCCCAGGGTTGGAGAGTCCAAAGCTAGAGAGCATAGGTTTAAGGTGAGGGGAAAAATTTAGAAAGGAGTTGAGGGATAACTTTGTCAGGCAGGGGGTGATGCATGTGTGAAATGAGGTGCCAGGGGAAGTAGTAGAGGCAGGTAAAATTACAACATTTCAAAGGAGTCTGAATGGGTACAGGAATAGTAGAGATACAAGCCAAATGCTTGCAGATGGGTCTGAGTCAGATTGGGATGTCTCGTTGGCACAGACAAGTTTGACCAAAGGGTCTGTTTCTCTGCTGTATGACTCTGACTCTATAACTAGAATGCAAAAATATTTTAGGAAGTAAACACATAATTTTAAGATATGGAGCAATATATGTAGCAATTTTTGTGTGGAATTAAAAAGAACTATGCATCATACAGTAAAGCTTGGTTTAGGACATTCAAAAATCAGCAGTTAGGTAGTAAATGGTACATGTGACATCATTGTTGAATTTTCCCATTTGAAAAAATAGAATTTAGGTTGTGCACTGAACTTGATTTTAGTAAAATATATGGAGATGATGGACTTTAGTTATGATTATCTCAATGTTAATTTTTGTGGATAGAGTTTCAGCTCCATCAGAGCCTGCTGTGACAGGTTTGGTATTTTGGCTTGGGTTCCAGACAAGTTTTATTTTGTTCCTGTGTAAGAAGGAATTTAAACTTTTCTTATTTCCCAGCTTATTAAATGCTCATTGTTGATGTTTATGTTTAAAAGAAAATCCTCATTGCATTCCCAAAGTAAGTTGACTCTTCTGCAGATAATTCTTTTGCATGATCAATTCATAAAATCTGGAACTTTGCACCAAATTTGCCTGAGATTGTAAAAGAAAGGACTTCTATAAGTTGTAGGAATTTTCAATTGTGAACAAATTTGGTTATTAGAGGGTGACTGGTGAGCACCAGCATGGTGCTGTGGGTGTTCCTCAAAATATTATCTTGGCCTAACCACCTTCAGTTGCTTCATTGGTGAAGTGGAGATGTTTGCACATAATTGCACAGAGTTCCAGTCTCTCTTCAGATACTGAAGACATCTGTGCCTGAGTGTAAGAAGATCCAGAGAATGTTCAAGCTTGAACTGAGCAGTGCGTGAAAAAGGAAAGTAGAAAATTCTTTGAAAGCAATTGTTAGACCATTCTGCAATCTAAATGTAAAAGTGATTATAACATGTGCCGCAGTTCTGAAGATGGGTAAAAGTTATGAAAGGTTCTCCAGCCAATAGTTGCATATCTCCCTTCAGCAACTGATGATTCTTCCCGAACAGGCTGTTGAAAGCTTTGATATATGCCAAAATATGTGCACTATTGCTGTCTGTAGTCTCTGTTTCTAGTTATGGTGTTGTATCAATGTTTAATATGCATGAAAGTTTGCGGTTAACCCCTACCTGTTACTGTAACATCATGCCAATTGATTATGCTCATTTAAGTGTATAATGAAGTTTTTCAGCAAATACCAGTCATAAAAATACATAATTCACAACTAATTTAAAAATGTACTAATTGGCAGTTTTATACTGTTTATTCCTATTTAAGTTTTTATTTAATGGCAATGGGCTTTCTCAAAAGTTGTTAACACTTTTCTAGCAACACATTTACCTTTTTATTAAGGGCTGACATCTATAAACTGCACCAGTTATACACCAATGAGCAACTGAATCTGTAACCATGATTTTTATAACAATGTACTTTCTCACGCTTACCTATGTAAAATTGTTGAAATTCTCCCCTCCATTTTTAAAGCTTGTGGATTTTTTCCATGTGAAAATCTGGAAACTGAGGAAAATATGAATTTTGGGGTGTTTCATTTTGAAATACTTACGTTAAAAGATGATGCAAGTCAGCAAAATAAGTGTGACCAAATATCTGGTATGCTTTATGTGCATCTTGATGCATGAATCTGCTGTTCATACTCTATGCATTATAAGTAGAATCATAACATTTAGGCTTGAATGCTCTTGAGGCAGGTATCCAAAGACAGTGATTGGCTGACAATGGAAAGTTCTGCTATAGTGAGGATACAAATTGAAGTAACTTCTGGGGTTAGAGTTTGGAGAAGGTATTAGTGAAGAAGTTAAGGAAGTAGAGGAAAATAGTTTTGTTTTGGTCAGGAGGTTAGAAGTATATGTAGTCTGATTGTATTCTTGTAAGCAATCCTCCTTCTAGTCAAATTAACTGGAGTTAAACAAAAGGTTCTTCAGATGAGTAAAAATATGAAAGTCATTGACCTGTATTGTAAACCCTAATATCATTTCTGGTGCAGTCGCATGACTTGAGTGTTTCCAGAATTTTCTGTTTCTATTTGAAGTGTGCGGTTCACCTGAGCTGCTGGTTTTCATTGCTGAAGTTGCAATCTTATCCATTGGTCAACTGAATTAATTTGGGCATGTCTTTATCATTTTGTCATGCACTTTCTGGGGTGGGGATGTGTGGATTTGATTAAATGTTGACAATGATTTGCTTTTGTCTTTCTGAAACTTGTGAATGACAGTCAGACCCCTGACCGTTCTGCCTGAAAAAATACGGCTTTGCCACACTAAGTTGCTGAGATAAAACCATGTGGGAGAGGAACTTGTTTAGTTTCGTGAAATTGCTGATGCAACACTTTTTGAGTTTCTTTAACTATGCAATAAAAGTCAAGTAAGTAGGTTTTACTTTAACAATTGTAGTAGCCAGGATTATTGAATAAAAGCATTGTTTCTGAAAGAACTAAACTATCATTTTTCAACCTGCAGGTATACAAAGCTTGGATATGCTGGGAATACAGAGCCACAATTCATAATTCCATCATGTGAGTTCAATAAATCAATCTTGCAAAATGTTTCATTTTGATACAAAATAAAGTTTTTCACCTCTTACTTTGGTCAAATGTACAATTTCTAATTTCCGATTCTCTTGACCTCGTGTATACAGAACTATATCTGATTTGTTTAGAAACAATGTTTTTGCTTCCGTTGCATGGAAGCTGTAAACTGTTAACAAGAATTTGTTAGTACTGTAATACCTAATATGAAGCAGTAAATCATTTAGCAAACCACGAGTATATTCGTAAACAATATTTTTTGTAAGGACAGCGTTAAAGCTTGCATATTGATTTTTAAAATACAACAATGTTGAGCAGTGAGCAAAACTTTAGGAAACTTAAGTTCCTTTCTTGCTAAATTTTGCTTTTTCACCCTTTTTATATTTGGGCTTTTGATTTTCAAGTGGAATGATAATGAATGCTGGTTAAGTTTGTAATGATAGTTCTGCCAAAGGAATCAATAAGAATAATAAGTGTTTAATGTAAATGTATAATGGCTTACAGGATAAATATTTACTGAATCAATCCTGAGATATTTGCTAGATATGTGTTAAATCTTGGGTGTGCTGGCTGTACTCCGTCACTTACCGTTTCTCCCACTTACGCTGTCAAATTTGTTTGTAGCTTCAACAGAGTTGAAGAGGTAGGGGACCTCCAAGTAGGTAGGAGGCTGCTAGTAAGATGCAATTTGTTTATTTTTAAAGATTTTTTTTTTAGAAAGTCAATTTTGACTAACCATCAAGGCGAGACAATCAAATGGCTCAAGTTTTGGAAAATGTTTCCTGCCATTTCCATAACTGGAATTTTTAATATTGAAATGACGTTTGTAACATGCCCCAGAGGCCCTATACTTGTATCATTTCCGAGTGCAGATGTGGTAGTGATATGTACCTTATCCAAGCACCTTTTCATTAAGCAATAATGCTAGATTTCCCCTAATATCATCATCCTCCTTGCTCCTGGGCTAATCAAACAACGTCCTTGTGTCAGATCAGAAATCTCTTCTCAATGTTGTTAAATCTGAGCGTCCAAATGCAACTGTGCTGCACCAAACAATATAGCCAGATTCGTTTCAACCTCTCGTGATTTCAGATCCTTGGTCTTGTCTGCTTTTTCTAAATACCTACTTTATTGCTATTTCCTGCCACCAGAGGTATTGTACTCTGCATTTCTCCATTGGATCCCAAGAATCAACCAATAAATTGCACTGGTGTTTCACCCAATCTGACTAAGGACCATTAGAACTGCTTTCCATTGTATTCCAAACGTTAAAACTTGTGCATGTGTAATTGAAAAATCTTGCAATGCAATATAATAATAATAAACCTTGTTTTATATTTCCGGGCTGCTTGCTATGCTGGATATCCTGCCCTTTTTGGCAAGTAAAATATAAAATCATTTACGATTTTAAGAAAAATGGTTGGACATGTAGAATTTGATCTTCAAAACTGGTGTAAGAATTTCATAGAATCAAGAATGGAGAAATGTGATCTTAAAATCACCAATACATCTGTGGCCTTGATATGGTGGCATTGTACAAACTTAATGTTGTTTAAAATCTATTTCTGTGTGGTTCTACAAGAAATGTGTTATTAAATGTTTTGACTATAGCATGTACTACTTTGACATCTCAGACATCTTATACCTGAATGTGTATGCAATATATCAGTTACCTGCCAACTCTAGCAGTTGTAAAATAATTGGTCACTAGTAGGCTTGATAACTGAGTTTTAGCAATTTGGCTTCAGGTTAGAGTTCCATTTCTTACAGGAAGCGGTCATATCTCAAGGTTATTGAGATGCAACATTTTTTTTCAGTGAAGTGCAGCTATGTCCTTTGCCTTACTTTCAAATTCATTTGATCAGTTTGCTCAGTTGCTGGGCTAAACTTCATGGAAATGGTACCTTAAACAAATCCATGAACTCAGTAGGGAAATCTTACAGTATTTCTAACCAGTTGGGGTTTTCCTATGCATTATCAGGAATGCAGAAGCTGGTAAAATGGGCAGTTTCATTTGCATCAAAAGTAAATAGTCATAGAGTAAAATAGCATGGAAACAGGCCCTTTGACCCAAACTTGTCCATGCTACTGTGGTGCCCATTCAGTTAATTCCAATTGCCTGCATTTGGCCCATATCCCTCTTAAACCCTTCCCATCCATGTGCTATCCAAATGTTTTTTTTTCAAATGTTGCTATTCTGCTTGCAGCCCTATTTTCTGGCAGCCCATCTCACATACACGCCACTTGCTGAGTGAAGGCGTTGCCCCTCGTCCTTTTTAAGTAAATATGGTCCTCACATTGGAGATTACTGTTTTGGTGCTGCCCACTTAACCATTTGCAAATTAATTTCTTAAGTGACTGATTATTGAAAATAATTTGATCATTAAGATGAATGTTAGAAGATTTGAGATCCTGAGCTATCTACTATGCAGCTTCAACTGAGAGGATTGCTGTACTGTTTCAGTAAACAGTAACAAAATGTTAATATTATCAGAATAATAACCGAGGCCCAGGTTGATGTTCTGGAAACATAGCTTCAAATCCCACGATTGCAACTAATGTAATTTAGAGCCAATTAATGAATCAAGAATATAAAATTTGTCAGAAAAATAATATGGTTGATTCTTAATGGATTTCTGAAATGGCCATGCAGGACGTTTGGGCCAAAGGCAAGTAGGATTAGGCAACAAGTACTGGCTATGGAAGAATAAACAGAAGTTATTTCCCCACAGAGTTTCAGTAGAGATTGTCAAAAGCTTTATTTAAGAACAAAATGGGACATGGTGGACATTCCATTTGTTTCCAGTCATCAAATCTGGGTATTATTGCAAAGTCAAAATTTATTGTCCATTGCTAATTAACATCAAGAATGTGATGGTGAGCTACCTCCTTAAAATATTTCCATACTGATGTTAAAGGTGAGGTTTCATGGTTTGCATCCAGTGATGCATTTCTCTGCAAGTCAGGATGGTCTGCGACTTGGAGATGGTGTATCCATGCATCTGCAGCCCCTAGGCACTAAAGGTCCTGGTGTCAAACAAGCCTTGTGATGTTGTGACATTGGAATGTGTATATGGTACACAGCACTGGTGATGAATTGCTTATTAATAAAGTGGGCCACTACGTCTTGGATAATTGAGTTTCTTCAGTATTTGAACTGCATGTGTACAGGCAAATGGAGAATATAGTTTGTTCCTTTATGTGACCTTGTATAATTTCCACTTTGTAATCAATAAAATAATTTGTTGCCATAAGCCATCTTCCTTATTGCATTAATAAAGCTTATTAATTGGGGACTGTATTATCAAAAATAATCAATCGTTAATGAAATGTCAGGACACTGTTTTGGAATAACAAAAATACTAACAGTATAATTTGACTGGCTTCACTTCTTTGTTAAAGATTTTTGTTAGCCATTTAGAAGAGGAATTTTTCTCTCTTTAAATATCTAAAATGGCTGTTCCTATACATTGGCTTCCGGCCACATGCACATTAGAGTTCATTGTCTGCATCAACAGATGGAATTGTACTTTGATTTCAGAAAGTGGATTTGCGTATCCATTCAAAGTAAATAGGATGTTCGTAAGGAATATTGTGTGTTTGTTCTAGCATAATGAATGTATTCATTATAAACTGTTCAGATATGCTATGACGCTTCTAGAGCAGGTAGGACCTGAATCCAGGCCTCTTGGTTCAGAAGAAGGGTCATCTCCAACACGCCACAGCCTTTGGTTTCTTGGGTTAGACATTTTCTGTGCAGACATGTTAATACACACCTGGGGCAGACTGGACTTGAACCTGGAGTTAGGCACTGCACTACATGACAGCTTTCCTGGCATAATAGGTTATAATCTTAGATCTAATTCACACATTGAAGCAAACTGTAGATGAAGAGAGAAGTGAGGGCTATTTAGACGAAAATAGATAGCATAGGTGTCATTCCTTTGTCTAGCTAAATTGAGGATATTTAGCACATGGAAGAAAGCCTTTGGTCTCTTATGCCCATAATGACTCTTCACACCTGTGTTTTTTCTCTACAGCCTTACGCATTTGTTTTTGGAAATTGATTGAATAAACTTTCATCATTCTTTCAGATAGTGAATTCCAGACCACAACACATTTTTTAAAAAAAACTTCTGTTTTCCTTCTGTTCCAATGTGATGCCAATTTTCTCACTTGTATTAAATCTTGATTGTAGGTCCTTTTGCAATGTAGACCTTTTTTGTCTTTAGTTGATTAAAACAGGAGTTTTGCTGAATAAAACAATTTGTTGAAGCTTTTCATATTGCACTTATCAGGACGATTCCCAAGAAATTCAAATTGAAGGAAGAACAACAGTGTGGCTGTTAAGAGTGCACTACTTAATGATTGACAGTTGACTGACAAGCTTGGTTTGAATTTTTAAATTAACAGGTTGATTCTCATTGATCAAGGCATTATCCTGATAATTGAACCAATGGCTATCACCTGTTTTATTGAGTAGAAATGAACACAATATATATTCTTTGACTGCAAAGAACAGTGCATTAATATACGTAGCTTAGAGTACTTGGTCATCATACTGCAACTCAACCAACAATCCTAAATTTATGGTCAGCATGATTCTTTTCACAATTAAGATTATTTATCAAATGTTTTGTAATCATGAAATCACATCTATGTTGGACACTTTAGAATTTAGCAAATATGGGCTGGTAAAGTATGGTCAGTACTTTACTTGTTGTGAGCAGCCAAAGGGGTATGCTGCTAAGTTTTCTTTTCAGCAATACCCACATTGTATACGATGGCAGAATATTTACAATCAAAGCGTATTATGTCAAAGATTACTTCTGTTCAGCGCTTGTTTGTATTTCAGATGCAGGATTTTTCTTTTTCTCCTAATTTCGCACACCCTGATTAAATCTCCCTCTAGCCAACTTGCACAAAGGAGAACAATCTCATTATGCCTAGTTGCTCCAGATAAGTTGAACTTGTGTCCCTGATACATTGCAATAGATCTCCTTGGTATCCATTCCAATACCAAGATCCCTCAGAAAAAGGGGTCTCAGAATACTTAAACTGGGAATTAATCAGTGACATACTAAGTCTATTTTTGTACCTTCTGCCATTATTCATTAAAGTGATCATTTATATTTTTCAAAATTGCTTCCTACAAGGACTTACGTGAAATGTCAAATGTGGCTGTTCCCACACCTGTTGGGGATGCACCACTTAGTTTAGATTATCACTTTTCTTCCTTCCAAGGTGGAACACATTACATTTGTCTTCTTTAAATTTCACATGTGCTGTACTGATTACCTCACCAGTTTCAATACATCAAAAGGAACAGACAAACATTGGGATCATCATCTCAAAAAGCCTCTGAATCTGGCCAGAACGCAGACAATGGGTCATATTAGCAAAGTGAGGAGATTTTTTTTTTGTAAGGAATAATTGTACTAGGTTGAGTTGAATAAGATTTTTGCTAGACTTGCACCTGAAAAAAAAGCCAGAAATTAAAGGATAACTTGATCTCAGCTGCCAATTTTGTTTTGTGTTGCATATTCTATTGTAGATCCTGTTGTGTCTATCAAATTTAAAATACATTTTTCAGTCATTCTTGTACCATTTGGGCCCTAAGTGCAATATTTTCTATCTTTAAAAAATGAAAACTGTGAGAATAGCTATTTTCAGGATAAATAGGACAACTATTCTCTTGGGATGTACAATCTGCGTAATGCACTTCAAACCACAAATAATGTTGCACTTTGAAACCTGATTCGATCATTGGAAAGAAAATGGTACTTGAAAAGAGAGGATGGGACTTTTTAATCATTTAGAGAGTGTGGGTTCCATTGCCTGGGCCAGCATTTATTGTCCATCCTTAATTGTCTTCAATTAAGTGGTGGTCAGCACCCCTCTTGAATTGCTGCAATTCCCATTTGGAATAGTTATATTCAATGTTAGAGGAAGTTCCAAGATTTTGATCCAGGCATAGTGAAGGAATGGCAACTTGCCAAGTCTGGATGATAAGTGGCTTTAAAGGCCGGTTTCAAGGAATGATGTTCCCTTGAATCTGCTGCCCTTTTAGATAGATGTGGTCGTGGGTTTGGAAGATGCTGCCTGAGCAGCCTTGTAAATTTATGCAGTGTATCTTATAGATGGTACACACTGCTGCAACTGTCAGTGGTGGAGGCAGTAAATATTTGACGAGGTGGTGCCAATCAAGCAGACTGCCTTGTCTTGTATGATATCAAGCTTCTTGACTTGGAGCTGTATTCATCTGAGCTAGTTTGAAATAGTGGGGAGTCAGGAATTGATTTGGCTGCTGCTGCTATTGTCGTCATAATATTTAGTTGGCTAACCCAGTTCTCTTTCTGGTTAATGGTAAACCCCATAATACTGAGAGTGGAGGAAATGTCAAGGGACGATGGTTAGATTTTTCTGGGAGATGGTCATTGCTCGCCACTCGGGCGGCATGGCGTGAATGTTGCTTGCCACTTGGGCCTCGATATGGACCCAGTCTTGCTGCATTTGGACATGGACTGCTTCATTAACTAAGGAGTGGCAATTGGTGTCGAATATTGTGCAATCATTGGTAAACATCCCCACTTCTGACAAGTGATGGAAGGAATGTCTTTGATGAAGCAGGTGAACATGGTTCTGTGTGGGACCTTGCCCTGAGGAGCTCTGCAGAGATGCCCTAGAACTGAGACGTCTGACATCCACAGCCATTTTCCTTTGTGTGAGGTTTAACTCCAAACAGCAGAGAGCTATCCCTGATTCCCATTGACTTCAATTTTGCTAGGGCACCTTGAGACCCCATGTGGTCAAATGCTATCTTGATTATCTGAGGATTGCCACTATCACCTGACTTCTGGAGTTCAGCTGTGTTGTCAGTCTTGGAACCAAAGATGCTCTGAGGTCAGTAGCTGAATGGCCCTGGCAGAACCCAAACTGATTGCCAGTGAGCAGGTTACTGCTTCGCAAGTGCTGCTTGATAGCATGGTTGACTCCCCTTCTAACATGTTTTAGTGATGATTGACAGTAGATGAATGGTGCTTTAATTGGCCAGGTTAGATTTGTCCAACATTTTGTGCTCAAGACATGGGCAATTTTCCATGTGATCAGTGGTACCTGTTTTGTAGCTGCACTGGAACAACTTGACGAGGGACATACCACATTCGGGAGAACAAGTCTTCAGTACTGTTGCCAAAATGCTGTTGGGGGCTCGTAGCTTTCATAGTGTCATGTTCCTTCAACTATTTCAGATCATGTGGAGTGAATCGAATTGGCTGAAGACTGAAATGGTTAGTCCAGTCAACACTTCTGGCAAAGATTGTTGCAAATTCTTCTACCTAAAATTCATTTAATGCAAAAGATTATTAGAATTGAAGATGAGAAAATACGTGACACTATTTGATACAGAAATCTGAGGTAGACATTGACAGGTCATAACTCCTACTGTAAGTTGTGTCACTTTTAATACATGTTTATGGGAGGTGAGCATCTCTGGGAGAGCTGGCGTTTAGTACAATCCCTAAATATCCAGAGGACAGTTGTGATTCAACTACATTGCTGTGGTGCAAAGTTGCATGTAGGCAAGACTAGGTAAGTGCAGTGGATTTCCTGCCTTGAAAGAAGTGGTTAGTTGTTTTGTATGACAGTGCTAACATGGTCACCATGTGGCCAACTTTTTGCTTGAGAAGATCACAATGATTAAAGTCATTGAACTGTGTATATCATCGTGCTAGTAAGCCATTTCTTAAAACTCATGCGCTTACAAACCTTACTGGACAGGCCACACAGATGGGCCAACTCCGAGCAGACACCACACCCATATTTCCTTTTTACTGCTGCTAATTCAGAAGAAAAAATATTGTTTTTACAGCAGCAGGGGCAATGGAAACAGCTGCAGGAACAGTCAGTGTCTGACTGCATTTGCAACTTTCACATGAACTGTAGATTTTCAATCTGTTGAATTCAGTAAAAGTAGCAATGTTCCTGACCAGACTTAACTTGCCCATCTAGAAAGGGAGGGGCCGATGTTTAACAAAAAAAGTGCTGCAAGTTTTCAATCTCGATTATTCCTTCAAATTCATTTTATTCAAGTTTAATGAAGTATTAAATGTTTCATGAGGTCAAGAAAGCTGAATCATACATGAAGTCTTTTGATATTCTATTCCAAGTATTTGCACGGCTAACTTTAATGCATCCTGTATGGGCTAAAGTCATGAATTTAGTGTATTCTTTTGTTGGAGTTACTAATTCTTAAAATCTGCTGACAGTTCAAAATCTGATGTTGTTGTACGTAGGGAAGTAGTTCTTTGTGAGCATTACCAGACAGATTTAGAATGTTTAGTCTCAATATTTCAGAAGATAACCATTTCCAGAAGTCTCAGTAGAAACTGCACAAGTTTTTCTTCAAGCAGTCTGTATCTATAATTGGCATGCATGATCCACTGAACACTAAGTGAATCTTCAATGGTGCAGCCTTGATCTTACCCTAACTAAAGTTGTAGGGTTCTGTAATATCTCTTTAATGCTTTGAAAAGCTTTAATTTCATTTTTTACTAAATCACCAGGTATAGAATTATTTTGCTGTGAACATTACGTTTTCCTACTGCCTCTGTGTTGGGAACTGAGAGGCTGATATTTACCTCTAAGAAGAATGGAATATCTGTAGGCGTCTTATAAATCTCAGTCATTCCCCACCCCCAACTTCGCCCCACATTTTGGCAGTTTTGTTTATTCCCAATTTTCTGCACTTTGGAAAGGCATTCAATCCTTGCTATAGTTGTTTCCTTGAGCACAATGCATCCTCTAGTTCATTGATTTCAATGGATGTTGACAAAGCCTGGACAGTGTCAGCCAGTTAATTATTTTCGAGGGCAGGGGAGGTAGGGAAATTACAACCAAGCCATGTCCAGTTTTCATGGAACTTGTAACTTTAAACACAAAAATATTAAGTAAGAATTTCTGCTTTTTGAGGGTTTAACAGAGTCCGGTTAGAAGTTGGTGACAGAAAGTGCTGCCTGTCACTGCACTTCTTGTCATTGTATCCATTTTGCAAATTATACAAGCTTTCAGATTTCTGTTCCCAGGCCTGGATCTTCCCTTTGCCATTAAACATACGCTAGGAAATGTTTTTTTTTAACCCTCTTGATCTAAAAATAGAACTGTACAATCCCTACAGTGCAGATAGAGGCCTTTTGATCCATTGAGTCTGCACTGATCCTCCAAAGAGCTTCCCACCCAGACCTGCATGCAACGAATAACCAGTCAATCTGTTATCTTTGGTTGAGGGTGAAGTATTGGCTGTGATAACTGAATTCTCTGTATCTGAGAACAAGCCTAATTAGGATGTTTATTAGCATCTGATCTTATGGATAGCATCCCATTTCTGTGCAACAGCTCTTCATTAGACATTTTTGTTTTCAGTTCTGCTTCTGCTGTGTGGTGTATAAATGTATCTAGTGCACTTTTATACAAAATATACATTTACATATAAGTATGATTGCCTTAAGGACGTGTATGTCATTAAATTCTGGAACTGACTAAACTGTTGTTGCTTTGTGCATTCTCTTGTGTGACATTGAATAGATTTGTTGTTTATCTCCTCTCTACCCTAAGGTATTGCCATCAAGGAGTCTGCAAAGGTTGGTGACCAGGCACAAAGGAGGGTGATGAAAGGGGTTGATGATTTGGATTTCTTCATAGGCGATGAAGCAATAGATAAACCTACTTATGCAACAAAGGCAAGTTTGCTTACGTACACATGTGCATAGACAGACTTATCTAATTATTATATTAAAATGTAGCTGAAGTGCAATTTCAATGCTCACTGCAATAAACTAGTCAGAAACAATATGATATATTTTTATATGTTTAAAGTGATGACCATGAGCACTTTATGGTACCTGGCAGGTGATCAATTTATATGATACTGCTTCACAGAAAATAAAGCTCTGTCTAATTTAATTCAAAGCAATGCCTTCATCCCACCTCAGATGAGCGCACTTTATACTGCTAACATGTTTTATTTTTCCGTTACCTAAGTAACCCACTTGTTGACCATTGAAGTAAGGACAGCTTTGTATTGTAGTGCTGTATCCACTTGACTTAGATTAAATGATCTTAAAGATATTTCTGGTATGCCACTTAGAAGTCTTTAAATCGATAGTTTGATTTTGAATTTGGGTCCTAGAGTTTGGAAGTTTTATCTAGTTGATTTTGCTACCCAGATGCTTGTGTGGGGAAAAAAGTGACCAACATTGCAGTCTTCCCTTGAGCTGTAAGTTGGGTATTATTTTGCCAGTTATTAGTTGTGGAATGTCAGGCTCTCATTAGTCCTTTGGTAGTAATAAAATTATGAATGACCTGTTTGTCGTGATTAACATTAATGTTTGCCATAATCTTGACCTCTAGCAAGAAACTAGAACCCTTGTACAGTTTTATTTACAAAATGTTTTAGTGGAAGCGTACTTGGTATGTTATACATCCAACATCTTGGACTTCAGGTAGTTAAGTTGAACTGTAATGTGCACATCTCGTTGAGATTATTCATGTCAAATGATTACCAATTCAGTATAAAGTTAGGCAAATGTGTGGAAATTGGACAGGAGTTCATGGCAGTGCTAGGTTATTACCTAAATTGAGAATAAGTAGACTTGACAAAATTTGCTTTCAAAATCTATATTTGAATAGCTTTCGATAAGTTCTCAGTATTGGCAGCAACTTGTTTATCTGACTTCATGAAAAGTCACACTTTGTTTCCAGTTATAATTTATTACATTTTAAATTTAAACTTTTTACTCAATTTGTGAACTTCAATACATGACCAATTTGAGGCACGTTTTCAAAGTAAATAATAAGTATAATTTTCTGCAACAGTGGCCTATTCGTCATGGTATAGTTGAAGACTGGGATCTCATGGAGAGATTTATGGAACAAGTCATTTTTAAATACCTTCGAGCAGAGCCAGAAGATCATTATTTCCTTTTGGTAAGTAAAGCTGTGTCATTTGATGTGGAAATAGTAACTCAAAATTCAAAGCTTAATTAATACGATGTGCTGGAGCTTGATTCTGTGATATGGTAGTAGTGTCTGTGGCTCAAATCTTAAGGTCCAAGTTGGAATCCCTCCTCCCAACCTAAGTCATGCAAAAAGCTACCTATGAATCTCCCAGATTTTTCAGGTCTGACCTCTAATACAGGTTTCATTCAATTCACTTAGTGCAGAAAAGTCTACAAGCAGCATTGAAAATGAAACTTCCCTGAAACCAGGCTGTCATTTTACAGCACTCCGTGTCCTGTCCCCACCTTTGGAGCAACCTCTAAAGGGGGAAGCGTGGTGTATGCATGAGTGAGGAGGCTAGGGTGGCAGTGAGTGGTGTGAAGGTGTTGAGCAGTGAGGTTGGGGACAGTCAGGTGGTGTTGGGTTGTCTAAGTGATTGCGTGTAGGAGGTGGGAGGAGGTTTCGGTTTTATAATTGTGAAGGTATTACGAAAGCCCTGTATTGAGATATCACAGAAGACACTTGGAGTCCATATTACTGAAGTAAATTACTGTGGTGTTTTGAATTTTGTGCACAGATTCATGAATTATGAATCGAAGCGTTATTGCAGCACAGGAGTTGACTTGTCGTGTCAGCTGCCTGCAACAGCAACCGATTTCACTTCACCCTATTTCACTGCATTTTCTCTACAGCATTTTTTCTCTATAATTCCTCAACAATTCTTTTCAGATATTACATAGTTGTGGCTTGAAGGCTATACAGGGCTTCATTTCAGAGCTGAAAATCCCTGAGGGTTTTGGATTGAGCATCATTGCCCATCAGAAGCTTAAACTTTCTGGGTAATTCCTGTGTAGTCAATGTGTTGAGATTTTCTAGCAGACCTAATGTGCATCTTTCACTAGGCTGAAGATCTGGGCCAGTGTTTCAACTGAAGGATTAGAACAATATTGTGAATAGCTGTTAAATAATAGGTGAAAGCTTGACAGTATGTTAACAGCCAAGGAGATTGAATGTAGTGGGAGTGATTTGGTTTTAAAAACTATTGGGATTTATTAAACTTTATTAAGGGAGAATTTCATGGAGAAAATAACTAACATAATTGAGAATACTAGGTTGCTTTAGCAGCTGAATATTACGACTGAGGCAAGTCTGAAGGTCTGCATTGTCTCAGATCTGAAATAGCTAATTAGTTGGTTTATAAACAGACTTAGTCTGATAACTTTGAGTTGTGTTTCAGACCTTGAAGCTATATATGGAAAACCTGCAGTATTATGTTTGTGAAATGAGACCATACAAATTGACTAATCTTGATGGTCTCCTAACCTAATAACATTGAGTTGTCACTGAGATATCACAGAAGACACTTGGAGTCCATATTACTGAAGTATATTACTGAAGTAAATTACTGTGGTGTTTTGAATTTTGTGCACAGATTCATGAATTATGAATCGAAGTGTTATTGCAGCACAGGAGTTGACTTGTCGTGTCAGCTGCCTGCAACAGCAACTGATTTCACTTCACCCTATTTCACTGCATTTTCTTTACAGCATTTTTTTCTCTATAATTCCTCAACAATTCTTTTCAGATATTACATAGTTGTGGCTTGAAGGCTTGAAATGAGTGACACGGTATTCCAAATACTAACTACTTGCTGTATAAAAAATATTTTTCTTCCAGTTGCCACTTTTTATTTTCTTCTCAATCAGCTTAAAAAAGTGTTTACTTGATGTGAAGATTTAAAAACTACTTTGAGTCTTGGGTCCAATTGTTACAGAACTTAGTCAAGCTTATGCTGGAGACACTTGATTTTATAAAAGTCCACCAAGGTCCCTTCTCAAATCTCCTGAGCAGAACACTTCATAGTTTTTATAGTTCACTTGTCATTGACAATCTTAAAATTTTACATTACATACACGGCGACAAAGACAGCAATGTTGAAAGTGTTCCTTTCATGTTCTCATTAACCCAGTGAAGCATTGATATCATTAAATGGGTGTCATTTAGGTCAGTTGGCTGGATTGTAATGCAGAGTGATTGCAAAAGCATGGGTTCAATTCCTGCAGCAACTGAAGTTACTACGAAGGATTCTCCTTCAGAATCTCTTCCCACATCTGAGGCCTGTTTACCCTCAGGTTAAACCACTACCAGTCGTCATTGTCCAATGAGTGAGCAGCACTGTGGTCTGGTAAGACTACGATGTCTTAACTTATACCTTGTTGTCGTTGTGGCTCCCCCAACCCCCCAGCCACTTGTCATTTTAAATGTATTACTAGCTTTGTGAAGATCAGAGTTTTAATATCCTTTCTTAGCTTGGTTACTACAGTGTTGGCTACATTCCCCATCATGCTTAGAACAGGTGCTCGTAGCTTCAATTTCTCAATGCTAAATCTACTAAGAACAAAATAATTAAAGAACAATCTTAATTGTCTGTTAAGACTTTTAAACAAATGCAGATTAGTTGAGAAAAGTCAGTGCATTTATTTAAGGCACATCATGATTAAGCTAGTTGAAATTTTTGATCAAGGGAGGATACATGCAATAATGCAGTTATTGCATAAAGACATGGACTTCTAAAAGAAATTTGATAAAAGTGCAACATAACAGACTTTTCAGCAAACCCATTGAATGTAGAACAGTGGCAGCATGGATATGAAATTGGTTGAGACACAAGAAACAAACTAGTTGTGAACACAGCTGTTCTTCAATTTAAGGAAGTTAATAGAATAGAATCCCCCAGTGGTTGTCATTAGGACCTCTGAGAAAGTGCTGAGGCCCTAAAATTATTTAACTTGATATCGAGTCCTGAAGGCTTCAAGACCCCAAGCAGAAAATGAGATGCTATTCTTCCAGCTTGCGTTGAGCTTTGTTGGAACACTGCAGTAAGCCTGAGTCAGATGTTGGCCATGGTGGAGCATGTTAATGTATTGAAGTGGTAGGCAACAGGAAGTGTGGTGATTTTTGTGGACAGAACATGGGTGACCGCTTTGCTGAACACCTAGTCTGCACTTCATCTTTTCATGAAAGAAGAGATCAATTTTGGAAGGACAAATTTGAAAGCAGAATACAGGTTAACGGAAAGATTCTTGGTGGTGTGGAGGAGCAGAGGGATCTTGGGGTTCATGTTCACAGTTCCCTGAAAGCTGCCCCCCAGGTGGATAGAGTTGTTAAGTAAGCATATGGTGTGTTAGCTCTCATTAATTGAGGGATTGAGTTCAAGAGCCGTGAAGTTATGCTCCAGCTATACAAAAGCCTGGTTCGGCCACATCTGGCGTATTGTGTCCAGTTCTGGTCGCCTCGTTACAGGAAAGATGTGGAAGCATTGGAAAAGATGCAGAAGAGATTTACCAGGATGTTGCCTGGAATGGAGGGAAGGTGTTACGAGGAAAGGTTGGAGAGCTAAGCCTTTTCTCTTCAGAACGACGAAGGATGAGAGGTGACTTGATAGAGGTGTACAAAATGATCAGAAGTATAGATAGAGTGGACAGCCAGAGACTTTTTCCTAGGATGGAGGTACCTATTACAAGGGGGCACAGTTTTCAAGTGAGTGGAGGTAGATATAGGGGAAACGTCAGAGGTAGGTTCTTTACTCAAAGTGGTCGGGTTGTGGAATGCATTGCCGGAGAGGGTAATGGAGATGGCCTCATCAGGGGCATTTAAGCGACTATTAGATAGGCATATGGATGATAGTATAAGGTAGGGGTGGAGGTTAGATAGACCTTAGGTTTATGGTAAAAGTTCGGCACAACGTCGTGGGCCGAAGGGTCTGTACTATACTGTTCTGTGTTTTAATTTTGAACAGCGAATACAGTAAACTAGATTGAGTGAAGTGTAGGTAAATCACTGCTTCACATAGCAAGTGTCTGGAGCTTCGGATAGTGAGGAGGGAAGAAGTAATGGGCAAGTCAATACAGTGTGGAGCTGGAGGAACACAGCAGGTCAGGCAGTGTCAGAGGAACAGGAGAGCACTGATGAAGGGTCCTGACCTAAAACGTCGACTCTCCTGCTCCTCTGCTGCCTGATCTGTTGTGTTCCTCCAGCTCCACGCTGTATTGAGTCTGACTGCAGCATCTGCAGTTCTTGCTATTTCTGTGTAATGGGCAAATGTTGCACTTTCTGTGCTCGCATGGTGAGGTGCCATGGCGATGTGGAGAGGTGTTGGGGATGGAGGAGGAATTGACCAAGGTGTCCTGGAGGGAATAGTCCCTGAGTAATGTTGACAAGGGAGGTGAGGGGAATGCATGGATGCTGGTGGTCTGGCAGGTGAGGACCAGGGCAACCCTATATTGGTGTTGTCGGAGGCAACAAAAGGGGTGAGGGGCCAAAGAGCGGGAGACCGATCAGACACAGCTGAGTGCCCTGTCAACCACTGGTGGGGAATCTCGGTTGAGGAAGAAGGTCGACATTTTGGAGGTCCCCTTGTAGAAGTTGGCATCATTAGAACAGATGAGTTGAAGAAGTTGGGAGAATGCCATGGTGTCTGCAGGGGAGAATGCCATGGTGTCTGCAGGAAACAATGTGAAGATGTATAGTCCAGGTAACTGTAGGAGGTGGAGTGATAGCTTATCCCTGGATATGGATACCAATGTCGAGGAAGGGAGGAGCCAGAGATGGACAAGGTGAAGTTAAGAGCTCTGTGGAAATTGGAAGTGAAATTGATAAACTTGTCAGGTTCCAGACAAGAGGTGAGGGAAGCAGAACTGATGATGTCATTGATGTACGAGACAAGAGTTATGCTTGGGGGCCTGAGTGAGACTGGAACAAGGAATGTTTAATGTAGCCCACAAAGATGGGCATAACTGGGGCCCATGAGGATACCAATGGTCACACCTTTGACCTGACAAAACTTAGAGGAGTTAAAGGAGAAGTTGCTTGAAGTGAGAACAAGCTTGGTTAGGCCTTTTTTCCAGGAAAAAAAATGCAGAGAGCCCTAAGACAGTCCTATTTGAAGTGGCATGGTGATAGTTGGATGTGCAAAAGGATTGCACATCCACGGTGAAGCTGTGGTGAGAAACGTCAGAAGAATGCTGAGGTAAGTGGGAAGCAACTGGATAAGGAGAAGAAATTGAATTGAGATAGGAACAGGGAAAAACAATAGGCCTGCCCAGGCAGTTCTGCTTGTGGAGATTGGGAAGGAGGTAGACACTGGCTGTATGGGGTTGGGAGACGATGGACTTGGAGGCAGTGCGAGGAAGGTGAAAGGCATCACCAGATGAAATAAGTTTAGTGACCATTGTGGACACAATAGCCTGGACAAAGTTAGGAAAGGAGGATCCATAGACCATGACCACATCATTGAACCATAGGCTAATGTGTCCTCAGATATCCAGAACTCCAGGACATCGATGACATCATCAGTGCTGTTTCCCCGTCACGTCTGGAACTGGAAAAGTTTCAGTTTTGTTTACAATTAACATCCTGTTCTCACCACATCTGGCCCCTCTGATTTCTCCTTCCTCATCATTTGTTTCTATTTCTGTGGGTATGCCAGCCACTGATGTCACCTACAAACACACTGACTTACGCAGTCACCTGGACTATACATCCTCACACTGAACAAAGAACAGCAGCACTGCACAGGAACAGGCCCTCTGATCATCCAAGACTGCGCCAACACAGGATGTCTTTCCAAAGTAAAAAACTCCTGCTTCCATGTGCTCAGTATGCCTGTGTTCTCTGCTTATTCATGGATCTGTCCAGATGCCTCTTAAAAGTTGCTAGTGTATCCATCTTCACCACGTCCTCTGGCAGCACATTCCAGGCACTTACCACCATCCATATCAAAAAAAACCTCTGCCCCTCACGTCTCCTTTAAGCTTTCCCCCATGTCCCCTGGTCATTGACATTTCTACTCTGGGAAGAAAGACTTTGACTGTCCATTCTATCTATAATTTAGTAAACTTCTATCAGGTTACCACTTATCCTTTGACATTCAAATGAAAACAAACCAAGTTTGTCCAATCTCTCCTTGTATCTAAAACCCTCCAAACCAAGCAATGTCCTGGTAAGCAATTTCTGTGCCCCTTCAAAGCCTCCACATCCTTCACTACCAGAACTGTACATACTATTCCAAATGTAGCCCAACTAAAGTCTAAGCACCGTGACTTGCCAATTTTTTTACTTCAAGCCCTGACGAAGGCAGAATGCCTTCTTGACCACCTTATTCATTTGTTTCCATAGAACAGAATAGAATCCCGACAGTGTGGAAACAGGCCCCTCAACCTAACAAGTCCACACCGACCCTCCGAGCACCCCACCCAGACCTATTCCACTATAACCCACCTAATCTACACATTTCTGAACACTACGGGCAACTTAGCATGGCCAATCCACCTAGCCTGCACATCTTTGGACTGCGGGAGAAAACCGCAGTACCGGACGAAACCCAGACATGGGGAGAATGTACAAACTCCAAGCAGACAGTCACCCAAGGGTGGAATTGAACCTGGGCCCCTAGTGCTGTGAGGCAGCAGTGCTAACCACTGAGCCACCATGCTGCCCTTAAGGCTGTTGCTTTCAAGGAACTGTGGACTTGTTCACCTAAGTCTCTGTATGTTGATACTACGAAGGGTTCTGCCCTTTATTTCATTCTTCCCTCCTGCATTAGATCTTCCAAATTGCATCACCTCGTATTTGTCCTGATTAAACGTGTTCTGCCATTTCTCCAGCCTATCTATATATCCTCTGTATCCTCTGACAATCCTCCTCACTCTCCACGCTCCCCAAATCATTCTCAAACCTGCTAATCAAGCCACTGACCTTCTCCTCCAAATCATTTGTATAAATTACAAACAGCAGAGGTCCCAGCACTGCTCCCTGCAGAACATCATTGGTCATTTGCTCCTTACCACCCTTTTTGTTATTCATTTGTCCATAGAAGGCTTTTCATTTACATTTTGGTTAGCTGCCAGTCTCTTCTAATACTTTATTTGCTTCTTTTTTTTTTAACGGCTGCCCACCTTGATCTGGCGTTGATATTGAGCATAATTCTCAATTGTAGTTTCCATTTGACGTTGTCACAGGCACCCTTTTTCTGATCTATCTTGCGCATCCCTTGTTCTGAGAACCTTTGGGTTTGTTTGCCCTTCCATTCTGTCCCACATAACCTTGACTGCACTTGAATGATCGCCTTTAAAACCAGCCTTGCTTGTCATTCATTAATTCCAAGGTTACCTGGATCAAATACTTTGTCACCACTATGAAATTGGCTGTCCCCAATTATCTTTACCTTGAATTGTTTCATGCTGTTTTCCATAGCTCAGTTAAACACTACAATGCCACAGTCACAGTATCCTAAATGTATCCTCACTGGCACTTGATTCAGTTTACTATATCAGTCACCAGGACCAAATCCAGCAATGCCACTTTCCTACCTGGACTGGAGGATAATGATTTGAAAATGCTCCTGAATGCACTCTACAGTCTTGCCCCTCTCTGCCTTCTACACTATTGCTATTTCACTCTACATTAGGATTGTTATGCCCCCTTATAATTGCTTTGTAATTTTGCACCTCTAATATCCTAGCAAATATAATCCCCAACATTGTTTTTTCACTAGTTTGTGGCCTATAGAATGCATCTAGTATTGTTGTAGTATAAGCAGTTTCTTAGATCTAACCAAAAAAATTCTGTCCACGAGCCTTTAGGAACACTTCCGGTTTCCAGAACAGTAGTGTTCTCCTTGATTAATATTGCTATTCAACCTTCCTTCTTTCCTTCCTTATTTCTGATCACCTTGTATCCAGGAATACATGGTCCCCTGTTCTGTCCTCCTTTTCCCCTAAACCAGCCTACTATCAGGTTTCTAGCTGGTTATCTGCAGCTTCAGTTTACTGATATTATTTTCTTCGTACTCCTACTCTTTTCACATATATGCTCACTAAGTCTCATTTAGACTTGATCTGCCTTACTGACTTTGAAGTTTCCTGTTCTTGTGCTCTGACTGTCCCAATTTTCTGTGCATCGTTTTTTTCCCACTCTAACATTATCAACTGATTGCAATGCCTCACATGCAAGACTGACCATCCTGTACACCTCTCCAGTTACGTGTTCTTTTTGCTGTGTGGAGTAATTACTTGGAGTAATTGGCAATGACTACCTTTTGAGGTCCTGTTAAATAGCTTACTTCCTAGCTCCCCAAACTCAATCTACAGAAAGTTGTCCTTCTTTCTATCTATGCTGCTTGTATCAATGTGCACCACCACTGCTGGCTATTCTCCTTGTACTGTCAGAATGCTCTGCAGCTGCTTAGTAATGTCCTTGACAAGCAAGATACCACCCTGGATAAAAGTCTGCAGTTACTGAAATGCCTGTTTTGTTCTCCTAACTATCAAATCCTGTATTGCCATTGTTTTTCCAGTTTCGCTGTGGCTCTCTGCAAACTCCTTCCCTGTCCCCACAGTTCCCAGAGCAGCTGAGGTGCCATGAAGCAGGCTCTGGCCCTACACCTTGTAGGAGCCATAACTCGTGCTAATATTCAGAACGTGAATACTGGTTTAAGTATGAGATGTTCACTGGGTTTCCACACCACCTGTTTAGCCCTTCTTGACTATCTGGTGGTTAAACATTCTCTTTCAGTCACTCTGTCTCTTTGTCTGCATAGTTGCTGGGTGATCATAGCAATAATGGGGACATCAGTGAAATTGCCAACTGTGCAGAAGTGATGCCAGCTGGTGCTGAAGCTCTAAAATGTGGCGCTTACGCTGATCGTAATTTTTGAGCATGATTGTCAAAGACACAAATGTCCTTGTGCTCCAGCATGCCTACTTATCTGAGTTGCTCTTCCTTATCTTTTTGTTAGGCCATGAAATTTTCTACTTGAGTGACTGAAGACACAGTGACTATACCAATTAATCATGTGGTCTGAATCATACAGCACGGGACCAGTCGTCTGCGCCGACCAGACATTCCAATCTGACGTCCCATTTTCCAGCATTTGGCCCATATCTTTCAAGACCCTTCCTATTCATGTGCCCATCCAGAGGCCTTTTTAAATGTTGTAATTGTACCTGCCTCCTCCATTTCCTCTGGCAGTCCAATTAGCTGCTTTTCCTGTGCTGACATTGCTTCATAGGAAGATTAACAATAATGTTTTGACTTAAATCTTAGCAAAGTGCCTTTGAACTTCTTGGAAATTAAAATCTGACTTCTCTTTGGTTTTTACTATCTTGTTTGTTCATATTCTTTAGATCTCCTTGACTAATTGAGCATTGTTATTATTTGTGTTAAATTATCAAATTGGCTTTAGCTTTTATGCTAATCTAATCAAATCTAAGATCATCTCTCTTGCTTACAATCTAGTTAGGTGTTTAAGCTATTTATTTTACTTGTTTCCTGTGGGCCTGCTCTGCAAAAATACTCATGAATGTGCATAATGTTGTATTTAGCCTGATTGAAAACTTTGATTCCTCAGCACTTAGTATGATCCGATGCAGTTCTTCAGCTGCCGTTTGTTAAATAACATGAATGATATCTTCAACAGACTGAACCGCCACTGAATACTCCTGAAAATAGAGAATATACTGCTGAAATCATGTTTGAATCCTTCAATGTGCCTGGCCTTTATATTGCTGTCCAGGTAAGGTGAAATGTTGTTCTTGTAAAACAGTAAATTTGTTTGATGTTTCTGATACTGTGCTATATTGACATTCTTCTACATTGGGCGTTCTTTTACACTGAGATTCCAACAAAACAACGAAGAAAATTACAGCACAGGAACAGGCCCTTCGGCCCTCTAAGCCTGCGCCGATCCAGATCCTCTATCTAAAGCCGTCGCCTGTTTTCCAAGGATCTGTATCCCTCTGCTCCCTGCCCATTCATGTATCTGTTTAGATACATCTTAAATTACGCTATCGTGCCCGCTCTACCACCTCCGCTGGCACTGCGTTCCAGACACCCACCACCCTCTGCATAAAGAACCTTCCACGCATATCTCCCTCAAACTTTTCCCTTCCCACCTTGAAATTGTGACCCCTAGTAATTGAATCCCCCACTCTAGGGGGGAGAAAGCTTCTTGCTATCCACCCTGTCTATACCTGTCATGATTTTGTAGACCTCAATCAGGTCCCCCCCAACCTCCGTCTTTCTAATGTCAATAATCCTAATCTACTCAACCTCTCTTCATAGCTAGTGCCCTCCATACCAGGCAGCATCCTGGTGAACCTCCTCTGCACCCTGTCCAAAGCATCCACATCCTTTTGGTAATGTAGCGACCAGAACTGTATGCAGTATTCCAAATGTGGTCGAACCAAAGTCCTATACAACTAACATGACCTGCCAACTCTTGTACTCAATACCCCGTCTGATGAATGAAAGCATGCCGTATGCCTTCTTGACCGCTCTATCGACCCGAGTTGCCACCTTCAGGGTACAATGGACCTGAACACCCAGATCTCTGTGCATCAATTTCCCCCGGCGCTTTTCCATTTACCGTATAGTTGGCTCGTGAATTGGATCTTCCAAAATGCATCACCTCGCATTTGCCTGGATTGAACTCCATCTGCCGTTTCTCTGCCCAACTCTCCAATTTATCTTTATTCTGCTGCATTCTCCGGCAGTCCCCTTCACTATCTGCTACTCCACCAATCTTAGTGTCATCTGCAAACTTGCTAATCAGACCATCTATACCTTCCTCCAGATCATTTACATATGTCACAAACAACAGTGGTCCCAACACGGATCCCTGTGGAACACCACTGGTCACAGTTCTCCATTTTGAGAAACTCCCTACCACTACAACTGCCTCCTGTTGCCCAGCCAGTTCTCTATTCATCTAGCTAGTACACCCTGGACCCCATGCGACTTCACTTTCTCCATCAGCCTACCATGGGGAACCTTATCAAACGCCTTACTGAAGTCCATGTATATGACATCTACAGCCTTCCCTCATCTATCAACTTTGTCACTTCCTCAAAGAATTCTATCATGTTGGTAAGACATGACCTTCCCTGCACAAAACCATGCTGTCTATCACTAATAAGTCCATTTTCTTCCAAATGTAAATAGATCTTATCCCTCAGTATCTTCTCCAACAGCTTCCCCACCACTGACGTCAGGCTCACTGGTCTATAATTACCTGGATTATTCTTGCTACCCTTCTTAAACAAGGGGACAACATTAGCAATTCTCCAGTCTTCCGGGACCTCACCCGTGCTCAAGGATGCTGCAAAGATATCTGTTAAGGCCCCAGCTATTTCCTCTCTCGCTTCCCTCAATAGTCTGGGATAGATCCCATCTGGACCTGGGGACTTGTCCACCCTAATGCGGCAACCAGAAGGGCAGCATGGTGGCACAGTGGCTAGCACTGCTGCCTCACAGCGCCAGAGACCAGAGTTCGATTCCAGCCTCGGGCGACTGTCTGTGTGGAGTTTGCACGTTCTCCCCGTGTCTGCTTGGGTTTCCTCCGGGTGCTCCGGTTTCCTCCCGCAGTCCAAAGATGTGCAGGTTAGGTGGATTGGCCATGCTAAATTGCCTGTAGTGTTCATGTAGATTAGGTGGGTTGTAGGTTGGATGGGTCTGGTTGAGATACTCTGAGGCTCGGTGTGGACTTGTTGGGCCGAAGGGCCTGTTTCCACACTGTAGGGATTCCATGATAATGCCTTTTAGAATACCCAACACTCTCTTCCCCACCACCCCCCCCGCCCCACCATGCCGACTTGACCTAGAATAATCAAACATCTATCCCTAACCTCAACATCCGTCATGTCCCCCTCCTCACTGAATGCCGACGCAAAGTACTCATTAAGAATCTCACTCGTTTTCTCTGACTCCTTGCATAACTTCCCTCCTTTGTCCTTGAGTGGGCCAACCCTTTTTCTAGTTACCCTCTTGCTCGTTATGTATGAATAAAAGGCTTTGGGATTTTCCTTAACCCTGTTTGTTAAAGAATTCCATTGAAACAACCAATAGCATAGCTTTCTTGTTTGCTTCTGGTGCCCTTCTCTTTGAGATAATTATTCAATTGTTCAATGGAAGAATTTGCAGCATCTGAAAATGTGCAGTATTGATCAGAACAGTTGAGTTCTGCTGACAGGTATGCCCACTTTGCTGCTTAAGGTGCCTGTGTTTGTAACATTGTTGTTTTATTTCTGTGGAGCAGAACAGCTTTGTTGATAATACAGAAATTTAAGAATTAGGAACAGCAGTAAGCAGTACGACCCCTCAGATTAGGCTCTACCATTCATTTAAGGTCATGACTGACCTGATTGTGGCATCAACTCACATTCCCATCTACTCATAGCCTTTGACTCCTTTGTTAATCAAGAAGAATCTTGGCCTTATTATTCAAGATCTCTGCCTTAAATGTTCAATGACATTGCCACGTCTAGGGAAGAAATTTCAAAAGGCACTCAACCCTCTGAGAGGGGAGTACAAGAATCTACTTGTCTCCATCTTAAATGCAAGATGTCTTAGTTTTAAATTGTGCCCTAAGCTGTAAGCGTTTCCAGAAAAGGAAGCGTTCTTCCACTGTCCACCCTGCTAGGTCCTTCAGGATCTTTCTATGTCTCAGCAACCACACTTTTCTTTCTTTTAAATTTCAATGGGTGTAGGCTCAGCCTGTCCAAGTTTTGCTCGTGAGATGAATGCCTGATTCCAGAAATCGGTTAAGTGACTCTTTATCTAAACTGCTTCTGGGGTATCTAACTTCTTTGTTCACACAAGGAGATTAGAACAGTATGGAGTGCTCCAACTGTGGGCTTACCATTTCCCTTTAAATCTGAAGTAAAATGTCCCAAAATCTCTCCTGTCCATTCACTTTCAGTAAAATGGTAACATTCAGTTCTCTTTCAGAATTACTTGCATAATCTGAACACCAAGTTTGATTCTTATCAGACTGTAAAATGTAGGAGCAGATGTAGGCCATTTACCCTCTGCTATTCACTGAGACCATGGCTCACCTGAAACTTGAACTCCATTTTTCTACTTTTTCCCAATACCCCTTGATTCCCTTACTGATCTGTCTTATCCTTGAACATACTTAATGATGACCTCACCTCTACAGCCCTCTGTTGTGAAGAACTCCAGATATTGACTACCTTCTGAAACAATTGGTAATGCCTCCTCATGTCTCCACTAGTTGATTGACCCCTGATTGAGATTCTATCCTTTGAGCCTGGACTCTGCCCAGATGAGGCCACAACCTCTCCACATCTCCTGCAAAGCTCCCTGAGAAGTTTGCATGTTTCAATAAAGTCACCCCTCGTTTCTCTATACTCAAATGAGTACAGATGCAACCTACTCAACCTCTCATAAGACAATTCTCTCCTCCTCCTCCCCAC